CTGGGTGGCTCAGTCAGTTAAGCGTCTGCCTTCGGCTCAGGTCATGATCTCAGGGTCCTGGGATCGAGCCCCACATTGGGCTCCCTGCTCGGCAGGGAGTCTGCTTCTCTCTCTCCCTCTGCCCCTTCCCCCTGTTCATGCTCTCTCTTTCAAATAAATAAATAAAATCTTTAAAAAATAAAAAAAATAAAAATAACAAAAATGTCCCTCACTAGTAGCTGGAGGGGAGGTCTGCGGGGGAAAGGGATAATTGGGTGATGGGTACTAAGGAGGGCACCTGATGTCAGGAGCCCTGGGTGTTATATGCAACTGATGAATCACTAAATTCTACCTCTGAAACTAATTTAAAAAAAATGTCCCTCACTATCATCGAGAGTTTCCCTTTAACAATGTCCCTCACTGTCGAGAGCTCCCCAAATCAGGTATTCCCCATTACCTCAGAACACCACTCATTTCTTGCTACTATGATTCTTAATCCATCATAAAGTCCATGCAGACAATTGTTGAATTATTCTTCATAAATCATCATTTTAATATAGAAACACATCTGTGTTTTCCCTTACAGTTCAAATCCCTTAATAAAGTTTAAATCCCTGAATCTGTCCCTCTCATTCTGCTGCATATGCATTTTAGATGCTTTAGGGGCCAGTCCATTCAGACACAGATTACACCAGCCATCTGGTTGGCTTTCTATGCCATACACAGCCCCATAGCCTGCCCTGACCATCTCACCAACCTGTGCCTTCTGAATCGGGGATTGGCTGGTCGAGGAGTGACGACAGACCAGCCCCTGTTGGAAGTGACCTTTCTGTCTTCTCCCTCATAGAGCCATCACTGTAGGACTCTCATGAGGGCTCTCATCTAATCCCATGCCAACATCTGGCTCCTTCAGTTATTTCCAACAAGTACTCCCTGACCAGTGTGGCATCATCATATACTTCCTAGTTACTTCTGTGTGAATCTTAGGGGATGTTTTTCCTCCCAAATCACATATCCCTGGAGAGAAGTTACCATGTTTCACAATTCCTTGTCTTCTCAGACCTACCAGTGACTTGGGCGTGAGAAATACTCATTGAACAGTTGAGAAATGGACATAAAGAATAAGCTTTCCTCTAAGGAAGCTTCTGTCACAGGAGCTAATCTTTTAAATTTGTTAACTGACCTTAGTCGTTGGGGTCCAGAGAGGTCATCTGGGGAAATCACAAAACCTGCTGGCTCTTACCTTTGCATTCCTGTGTGGAGCTGTGAGGACAGGACGTGGTGCCAGAGGGCACCTTCCCACTCTCCTATGGGGAATTCCTTCCCTGATCTCTGAAGGTGGAGGAACATATTATCTATTATCTACCAAAACTGTGGCACGTTTTCATTTAATCTGCTCTGCCTCTTGAACCTCTGATAACCAAGAACCCACTTAATTTAATCCTCAGTAAGATATATATTCTTCTATTTTATGTTGCTTTTATAACACTGATCACAATTCGGCTTCTGTAATAGTCCTGTTTTCAAATTTTCATATGGACTGATATGTTATTCTTTTTTGAGAAGTCTACAAAATATTTAGATGTGCGTTTCAGTCAGTAAGGATAGATTATTGAGCATTATGAAATAGATTTCATTCTCTTCTGGAAAGAGGGTTAATGATATTTCATCATCATTAAGAATCTAGAAGGTTGCATAATTCTTGTTAGTTTAACAGATTATCTATTTGTTTGAGCTTAGTTTGAATGTGCTATTGGAACTGAAACAAAATTTTGTTTATTATAAACACCAAATTGTGTCTCTATCTCAAACTGCCCATTAAAGTTCCAAATAGTTTGGTGTTTAAAAGTGTAAGCTTTAACACTTCTAATAACTACTAATACTTAAAAGGCATACTTTCTTTTAAGTTAGCCATGATCTACACAAAGGCTTATATTTAGTACTTCCAAGAAAATCAAAGTTTTGACTTAGTGTCACTACAAATCCTTCTAATAGCATCTAACTAATGAAAGTATCTTTGCCTTGCATAATAGTTTTCAAATTGATTAAGTTAGACTGGTTTATAATTTCTAATTATCACTAGATATTTGATAATGAAAGTTATAATTTGTGACAGTTGTTATGACAATTATTGTTCCTGAAAATAGAATTTTAAAAAGATAACTTCTACTGGAAAAATGAATTAAATCGAAGTGTTAAATACTTAACTGTAACAAAATTCCCTCACCCACTGTGGACACAGTGGAGTTTTTGTAAAAATCTGATGAAGTCATGCAAGTTTAGAGCTGGAGGGAAAAATAAAGCAGAAAAGAGAGGACAGAGGGTGTTGGATCTTTAATTAGGTGGTTCTTCATTTAAAGAAGAAAAACACTGAAAGTCAGAATAGAAAAATGACATGTCCAATATCACAAAAAATAAGTGCCAGAATGAACCCTATAACAGAGATTCCATCCTTCCTGAGACAGGAAAATAGATAAATGATAACAGGTGATTCTAATGTAAAGACTGACAACTCAGTTACCTGGCATAACTTTTCTTGGTGATTCAAAGTCATATTGATGTGTGAATTTGGTCAGAGCTGGACATAGATGACTCCACTTTCTCAGTTGTAACATCTCAGTTTTTGTACTTTGCCATCAGCAGATCAGATTAGAAAGGGAAGGAGAACCAGGCTTTAATCCAATTCAGAAGGAATGGAAACCAAGCTAGGTCACTAAACTATGAGCTCACTTAATCAACAAGTGGAAATGCTCAGGATTGGCCACCACTCTAGGCAAGAGCCAGACATGGTATTTGTCCCCATTAGGACACATAATTTGAGGGAATAAAAGAGATATGCTGGAGATTGCTATTTTCAAGGCTCTGAAGACCCTTTCTCTCATTTCCATATTTAGGACCATGTTAGAGTTGGTTGCATTTATTGGATGTATAACCATAAGGTACAGTAAAATGATATAGAAAAGCTTACTGTAAATGTCCCCAGCCTATTTCAAGTGACAATTACACTGAAGGTTTGATAGACTTTGATCCCTAGGCCCCATGCTCGGTGACACCTTATCTTTTGATAATGACTTAGCCTGGTACCTATGATTGAATTTTCAGTAAAAATTTTGGAGGGAGACTTGATTTATAATAAACTTCACATTTTATCATATAATGCTACAGCAAAATCTAACGGTTTGATGTTTAATGCTCAATAGTTTCTAGCAAAGCCTAGATATTGTATAACTATTTGCCTTTACTCTTCTATTTTCGTAAATAGACACATACAGTTTTACTGATATAATTTCAACTCAAATATTTTCTGGAAGAAATAAACATGTTAGAAATAACATTATCATCTCAAAAAGCAATGGGAAGTACTCATGAGGAAAGAGTTACAATTTCACCAGCAAGCACCTTGTCTCTCATGTGACACAACCATCACTGGCCCAGGCCATGAACTGTGATTTATGGTATCTGGTTTGGTCAGTTTTGTTTTGTTTTTTCCATGGGAGTTAACAATCTCATCTCTTTCAGGATATAAACTCTTTAAAGTCAAAGATTTTCCCCAAAGCTCCTTAAGAGTTATGAGCCTTCAACGTGCATTAATTATAACCATCATTGACTAAGGTTTTTTTTTATATTCAAAAATTCTGTTGCAACCTTGTTATAAACTCTTATTTAATTACTGTCATTCATTCATTAAATAAGCATTTTTGAGTGTCTGCTATGTACAATCCAAGAATCACTTGATTCAATAGTGTATAAAATAAAAAAAGAAGAAGCTCTGTCCTTATGGAACTTACATTCTATCAGGAAGATATATAAATAAATATAATTTTTAAAAAGCAAAATATATAGTATGTTAAATGAACAAGAATTTCAAGAAAAATAAAGAAGCAAAAGAAAATAGGGAGGGATTTTTTTGGCTTTCACAAGAAAATAGGGGTTGTGATTTTAAACCAGTTGGCCAAAGAAGCTGACACAAGAAAATGACATATAGGTACACACCTAAAGGAGGTGAGGGAGAAAACCATATAAAAATCTGGGGGGAAGAACTTCCCAGCAGTGAAAACAGCAAGTGCAAAGACTCTGATGTAGGAACAACACAGGGATGTTCCAGGGAGTGGAGACTAGTATGTGAACAAGGGAGTGGTAAAGTTAGAAGAGTTATAGGGGTCTGATCCTAGAGGGCCTTGTAAGACTTGGACCTAGAAGAATGGAAATCATTAGTAAATGTTGAAATGACCAGACTTATAAGATCTTGTTAAAATCACTTACATATGTAATATAGTGCCTGGAATTTAAGTTAATAAAATGAATGGATTATCTGCCAGGTTAGGTGGAAGCCTGCTTATGAACAAAGGCAGAACTGGAAACTAGAGAATCAGGAACATGGGGGTGCCTGTAGGAAAGGAGTTACATTAGTAACATGAACTATATATTTATAACATAAATATATATTTAACATGAACTTATATTTAACTATATAGAGAGAGTTAAAAAGTTTTAACTTTTTAAAATTGTTTTACTTCTGATGTCAGCTGATAAAAGTTCTTTAGTTGTTGGACGAGGCCGGTAGAAACTAGGGACTCGCCATTAAGCATTGAGGTCAAAGTTCTTTCTGTCTCTCCAGCTCTGTCTCTGTCTCTCTCTGTCATTATTGGGGCCAGGAAGATGTGACCCTAACTGGACATCCTTTGAGCTATGCCTCTTTCGTCAGGCAGCTGCACCCCAGGACGTGCCTGGGTGGCTATGAAGATGGGGAGGGGCGGGAAGAGGGGGAGTTTCACCGAGGGAAACCAGAAGTGCAGCTGGGTACCTGAGGCAGGGAAACCAGGGGCTCTGGGAGGGGGGCGGATGGAAGCAGGCATGCGGAAGGAACGGGAACAAGAATCTCCCAGAAAAGACAGAGAAGCTGCGAGGAGGCTAGTCCCACTCCCACCCTGACAGAGCTTGCTGCAGGGAAGCAGCCCCATTTCGAGTGGTAAGGCCAAGGGTTAGGCCAGGGGTGGGACGGGCAGGCAGAGGTCCCTTACTCTTTAGATTTATCCGATCCGTGCGCCGAGTTGATACGATGCACCTCTTTCTTTTTGGTTTGTTTGGAGGCCATGGTAGAGGCGGCCCCGGGCCCCGGGCCCCAAGTGTGGACTGAGCTGTGAGCGAGGAGCTGGCTCCGGGACGCGCTCCGCGTCTGCTGTTGTCAAGGAGACGGCGGCCGCAGGGCCGCAGCCGAGGGGCGGGTCCCCTGCGGCTCTAGCGCCGCGGCTCTGGGGGCGACGACTGCGGACGCCGGCGGGGCGAGCTCGGGTCTCCACATCCAGGTGGCCTAGGGGTTGGGTGTCTGGGGAGGAATCCGGCGGGGGGGCGGCAGCTCTGATTAACTGCAGCTCTATCAGGTCCACTCTACCTGGCTTTGCTCTTCAGTGATTTGAAGACGGCTCATGATGCGATGTCGCCTCTCCCCAGGTCTTCTCTCCGCTGAACCAGTTCTTTCAGTTATAACTAAGGAGGCATTATGGACGCTCTGAATTTGCTAATGGCTTGAAAAGGGCGGGTCCAGAAGAATAGAGTGGGTGCGGGGGATCGCTGCAGGGAAGGCAAGATCATGACACCTTTAGTTGCTCAAGTTTAGCTAATAATGAATGAAGTCTGTGATGAAAAAGTCCAGTGTCTCCGTTGTTCATGTAAAAGAATAAATCCCAGTCATAGAGTGGAGAGGGCCTTGATACACTCACTTGGGAAGGCACTGGAGCCAGAAGAAACAGAGCCAAGCAAACCAAGATCTATTAAGTTTCAAGCCTAATGCTCAGCCAGTCCATAGCGGTATTTATTAGTTGCCTTGGGCAAGTTTTTCCTTTTGAGCTTCATTTACTCATTTGTAAACAGGAGGTGCTAATATCTAACTCACGATTCTCTCATGAAAATTAATATGTATGTAAAATGCACACAATGAAAGCACGGCAAATAAGGGGCCCCTGTTTCTGAGATGAAGCTTAAATGCCAGCAAGGAGCAGGCAGATGCCCTGAATGAATGAAGCCCGGCGATGCTTAGACTGGAAACACTTTAAAACTTATTATAACAAAGCAAAATATTGTGTGGGCCCAAAACAACCTCCCTATAGTGAGATCTGACCATGCACAGACCTGAGGTTTAGAACCCCTATCAAGCTCCTTGACGGCTCCCATGAGCCTAGAAATAATTAACTATCTTTAAAGAATCCCCTCTGCTCTTGGGACTGGGCATTGCTCAGAGGCCCAACTCCCCACAGGGGAAAACCAACCTCTTATAAAGCAAATCTTTCAACTCTTTTGACAAATGAATGCCCAGCCCTCTGCACTCAGCATAGCCTTTGCTTGGCAGGCTGTCCCAATCTTAGTGTTATTGGGGGTTACACAGATGACAATCAGACAGCAACTTTATTGTATTTCTATATGCAAGATAAATAACTTCAGAGTCCGTAGTGTTAATGTTGTGATTGAAGAAGTGCCTTATAAACATCTCTGATACACGTGAAGAAAATAAAGACATCTTGAGGGCTCTGCCTCATTTATCTCAGGATTGAAATTTCCAGAAAACTCTCCTGAATGAAAATACATGACCAAACTTTGAGAAAATATTATTTAATACCAAACCTTATCAAAGTAATCAAATGCATAGCCAGAAGCATATACAAACACTATTGGGTAAAAACAGCACAATTTTAAGCAACCAACCCACAAATGGGTGAGTTTCACCTTTAGCCTAGGTCATCCCTGAAGTCATTGTTAATGGTTCCAAGATACTAAGACCCTTAAAAAAAGAAAAGTCTTAGAAATCAAATCATCTTCAGCTCACCCATATTTTATAGATGAAACCCCTGGACCAAGAGAAGTGTCTTGCCAAAAGTTTCACAGCTACTGGTGTAGTCTGGATCAGAGGCATTAAAGGGAGGAGCACTGGTTTAAGCCAAACATATCACTACTTCCACTGAGACTGCTTTCTCATCTATTAAATTAGGACAAAAATAAGGGAGTTGACATAAGGCTGAAATGAGATAATAAAAAAAATTGGAGGGGAAAATATAAAGTGCTTATTGATTCTTAGTCCAGTGTTCTTTCTCCTTTATCATGCTATGTATGCAGCATGCATAAACAGAATTTCTCTTCTTTCTGGAACTAAACTCTGATCAGGCCATGATTCTAAGAGGCAAATATGCTCCATAAACCATGAGATGGTATTCGTATGTGCCAGTGCAAAAAAAGAAAAAGAAAGAAAATTGGCCCTACATCTTTTTTTTTTTAAAAAATCAATATTATGTACAGATGATAATCATAGTCAATGCTATTTTGAAATATCATAATAACTGTGATTTATTGCATTCCTGCTACATGCCTGGCTTAGGGAGGGGTGCTAGCTCCTTAGGACATGTATAGGCTTTAGAGGGAAAAATGAATTTTAATGCCGACTCTTATTAGTTGAGTTACCCTGGGTAAGTTATTTATACCCTCTGGATTCCATTTTCTTCGTTTGTGAAAAGGGAAAGATAATACTTAGCTCAAATGTTGTGTTTGGGGACATCATAAGCACTCATATGATGATAGCTCATATCATATTTCACAGGTAAAGGAACTGAAGTGCAGAGAGGTAAAGAGATTTGCCTGACATGGGGTAGGTAGTCTTTGCTCTCTGCAATGCTCTGGGCTAACTACCCTTGTCACAACCTTCCACAGTCACAAATCCAGATGATTGCCCTGCAACTCGGCTTGCGGATTTCCAATTTCTCTGACTGTTGAATAACTTTCAAAGGCTGAGAAACAGGGCTTATATGTTATTAGGGTGACCCACAGCGCAGCCTCTCTCCAATCTATACTTACCTTTTTGAGGAAGAGTTATTTGGCTTCAGGGAGCAGTAGCGCTACCCGGCTCCACAGGGAAGTCGTTAGAAATACTCACTTCCCCAAGCCCGCAGAAACGGAACAGGCAGGGCTCTCTCTTTGGGCTAGTTGGGGATCTGCTGAAATGGGGAAGTGAACTTTGGTAACCACTTCTCCACCCACCGTGGGGAGTCGCAGATGACTGGAACTGGGCGGGGTCAGGCAAAGAGAGGGGCAGCGTTCCTGTTTCTTAAAGCCTTAGCTCTGGGCGGCTTCAGACGCTTGGTCCCACAGCCAGAGGCCGTTACATCCATGGTGCTGCTCAGCCACCTCTTTGCAGTTAGGTCAGGTGTAAGTCGCCTAGAATTTAAGCAATCAGATGAGAAGGTGTACATTCTTCTACATGTTCTGCTTCTGGTTCAGGTGAATTGGCCTTTCAAATTCTGTCTTTCGATTGTCATTCTTCTGTCCCGTTGACCTCATTTTCCTTTATTTGCCACAGAGCTTTATGTGTCTTAAAATTCTTACAACACTCTGCCTTCTTTTTATCCTTCCTTATGCCCTGGCCCTTCTCATGCGCTAGCCTCTAAGGGCACGAGAGCCGGACCTGTTCGAGTTCTGCTCTTCCTCACCAAATTCAGTTCAAAGTTGTAAGCCCCCTCAACATCTCATAATCCGAGCTCAGACCTTTTGAGAACTCGCTGTATGCTTGGCACTCTACGAAGCTCTTTTCCTGTATTAGCTCACATAATTCATAGAAACACCCTAGGAATTTGTTAATATTACAATCTCTTTTTTGTGTAAACAAGGAAACAGGCAAAAAGGTTAAATTAAATTACTAAGTGTCAGGCAGGATTCTTGCCCATGCAGTCTGGCGCCAGACTGATGCTCTTTACAATCACATTATTCTGCCTCGGGCTCAGTGATCACAGCCCTGTGAGGTACACAATCAGCCCATTTTACAGAGAAGAAAAGTGAGCTTTTGGCCAAAGTCCAAAGCACAGAGTGAGTGGACCCATAACGTAAATGTGAGCAGTCTGGCTTCAGAGTGCACACACTATTATATCATGTTCTATTGTATTGTATCATATTGTATTTCTTTATTGTGGTAAGAATGCTTAATACAAGATATTAACATATTTCTGAAGGTACAATACAGTATTGTTAATTGTAGACACAATGTTGTACAGCAGATCTCTAGAACTTACTCATCTTGCAAAACTAAAACTTTATACCTGTGGTCACTCTTCAGCCCTCTGCTACACTGCCCCCTTGGAATGGTTACTCTATGTCATGGAAAATATTATTAAAATTTGCAACTTACATTCAGTTTTGTCCCCTAATGTTCTGTCTCTCCAGAGCCCACTAGTTATGGAGGATTTGAATCTTGTAGATATGAAGCCAAATGTCCCTGCCTGAGATAGTCTCATTAGTCTGGGTAGACATTAACTTATAGTTTTAATTATCTTTGAGAGGAAATTCTGAGTAGGGATTCTTTAAAAAAATGGGAGAATAGGGAAAGAAGATGTTTTCATGATAGTGGCTGAAAAATAATTTCCATTTTGATTCATTGTTTAAATACAAAGCAATAGTTTTCCTGAGTGTAATAAAACACTTCATGGGGTTGCATACGAACCTGAAGGTGTATAATGTTGCAGTCGCCTCTGCCGTGGGCTCACTGGTACTAATCCAGATCCCCCTTTTGGACAGAGGCATTCACACCCCCATGAGAGGAAGCTATGTCACTCAGGCCAAGGTCATGCCTTCTCCTGGACAGAGGCCTGCATCTTATTAGTGTGTGTAAGGGAGGGCATATAACCGTGACACCTCTGAAAGGTTCTTCTCTCCAGAACTCCATCTTTATTGGTGGAGATCTCAGTCACACCAGCATTGCACTTTATCTTCTTCTGCTTGATCCTGCTGGCCTTCTATTCAGAGATGTTACCCAAAACACTCACTAATAAACATCATGCATGCAAATCTCTGAGTGTTAGAGTTCGTTTCCTGAAAACTAGCCCAGAGCGGTCAATCTCAGGCATGATTCTAGGAAGCAGACTCTCAAAGGAGAGTTAGAAAGGTTTCTGCTCCCAAACAAAAGGCAGTAACAGGCAGTGCATTTACCTTCTCGTGTGCAATAACTAATACACCGAATGAGATAGATGAAGACATTGGCAATGAAAGGCAGAGTTCCCCCAAGAGGTAGAAAACAAAAAAAGACAGGTTCTATCAATGGTCCTAGCTTACTGTGAGGCTCTGACACAGGGCGGGG